GAGGAAGATAATAAATTAAAGCCTGAACCCTCAAAGGATTCAGGGCCGCTGACGTCGCGGTCCGACACCCCAACACTGCTGAGGCCTCAGAGGGTGGAGCCTGTCAGACTGACTCCTCCTCCTCCGCCTGTCGACCAAAACACCACTGGAAACCCGATTGTTGTCGACGACGCTCTGCAGCGAGTCCTTAGCAACGACCCTGAACTCACAGAGGTTAACCTCAATAATATTGATGACATCTCACAGGTACGAACACAAACCTTTCATGACGTACAACATTTAATTATTTTATTCATATTGTAATTATTTAGGAAAGTCTTGACCAATGTGACTGTTATCGTATGTAACCAGGAAGTGGAGAGATGTTTTGAAACTTTAGTGGTTCATAAACAACTTTATGAATCATCATATTAAGTTCTACTTTGTAGAATGTAGATATAATTAAACTGAGCTAAGCTGATACTAGCTAATAGCTAACACTAGGCTCATACTATGGTTCAATATGTATTCAGACATTTGACATGTCTTAATGTGGAGACTAACATGATACAAGAGCCAGTTATTATTGGTTACTAGCAATTAAATTCATAAACCTCCATAATGTCAAGTTAAGTCATTGTCTTTTGTGTAGCACTATGAAAACAAAAGATGCTAATTCAAAGTTTTCAATACAGTAAAAAAAAGACTGGTTTGTCAAATTTACCTGAAAAGTTTAAGTATTAAAGTTTAAACCTAAGATCCTACAATATTATTTATTATACAAATTTACTTGACGGTAATGAATACTAACATTAAAACCGCACAATATTGTATGTTCCACAAATTTATTGGACTTATATTTAACATTGTGGTTAGGACCCTTTTAGAAAACATAAGTTTACCTGATGAAATCAAACATTAAGGCAAATGTTGTACAATAATTATTAGATGAATCTGCCTGACTAACTGAAACATAGAGGTTAAAACCTCACAGTATTATATGTTCCACAAATGGACCTGACTAATTCAAATATTAAAGTTAGGACCCAACAATATTATATATAATGCAAATGTATGTGATTAAATTAAAGCTCAAGGTTGAGACCCTTCAATATTATTTGTTATATACATTTACTAGACAACATGACAACCCGAAAATATTAGATTTAACACAAATTTGTCTGACTAATTTAAATATTAAAGTAAAAACAACAAAATATCTTCCCGTGTATAATTACAAAAAACAGATTTGAAACAAATCTTTCATAAAAACCAACCACTTTTACTAACCGCCAAATTTGATATAGCATTTCTAGTAATACTATCAAGTATAGTAGATTTGCTGTCAGTTTAAATACGGTGGTACTGTTTAGTCAGAGCTAGTGTCCTCCTTTAATTGTTGAGTAACATTTGATCGTATGCCAGTTTATTTTTAGAGCCAGACATCTCGCCGTGGTTTTGTAATCGAGGACAGAGTTCAATAATTGGTCCAAACACTTCCTATGGCTGGAAAATAAACAAAAACAAGACATCCTCAATCAACAGTTTCAACAAGGTTTCTGTAGACATCTTTATGTTTAAAACAGTCTGTGGTCAATCAATGACAAGTAATGGCTAATTTTAGTATTAGCTGGAACAGCAGCTTGGACACAAACCCGTCTGTCAGCATGGTAAATACCGACCTCACTGAAGTGTTACATGTCCACAGGGATGTTCTGACCTGTGGCACTGCTGGTTGTTAGGGTGCCAAGTGATAAACATCCTGTCGAATGTAATGTGGTATTTCTTCCTCTGGGATACAGCCAAAATGATTTTCTACACAAATTTACAGCACAAAGTTGTCATTTGTTCTACTTATTTTCTCAGGAAACTCTCATCCGATTTGCTGAAGCATTGAGGCCCAACACACACGTGAGAGTCTTTAGCCTCGCCAACACCCGAGCCGACGACCCCGTGGCTCTAGCCATCGCTAAGATGCTGAGGGAGAACTCGTCCATCACCAGCCTGAATATAGAGTCCAACTACGTGACTGGGAAGGGCGTGATGGCGCTGGTTCAAGCTCTCCCAGGAAACAATACTCTGACTGAGCTTCGGTTCCACAACCAGAGACACATGTGCGGAGGACAGGTTGGTTTCCTTCTTCCCTCTCACTTTCTTGAATCAATCAAACCCATCTGTCGTGTTCGAACAACAACATGATAGTAATTATCTGTCTATATTCTCAGCCACCCAGGTCATTAGGATGCTAGTAGTTTCAGTAGAAGGCAACCGGACTTCTGTTTTTGGTTCTTGAAGGTATATCATCTTCCATCCAAGAGGTTTCTTCAGTTCTGAACAAGAAGAATTGGAGAAGCCTCTTCGATGAGAGGTGAAATGTCTTCAAAAACCAAAAACAGAAGTCCATTTGCCTTCTAATGAAGCTCCAAGGACATGATGGTAACTGTGCAACCAACTCCTACAGGTAGAAATGGAGATGGTGAAGATTCTGAGGGAAAACCACACTCTGATCAAACTGGGCTACCAGTTCAACCTTCCTGGTCCCAGAATGAGCATGACCGGGATCCTCACCAGGAACCAAGACCGCCAGAGACAGAAACGTCTGCAGGAGCAGCGGCAGCAGCAACAGCAGGGCCAAAAGGGGGCGCAAGATGGAGCAGTTTACCCAAGAACTACCGCACTGGTGAGCAGCTTTACTTTGTGTCCTACAAGCTGGACATTACGTTCTACTATCCTGTTGTTTTCCATGACTGTTTTCAAAGTCTTCATCTCTGTTAGAAACAACGATGAACTATACACCTTTAACTCCAAAAATGTCATATTTATCCACTTATTTGTAACGAGTTTTCCTTTTCTATCCGTAGCGAGGAACACCTGTTTCCTCACCGTACAGCTCACCTTGGTCCTCGCCCAAACTGCCCCGAAGCGACCTGGCTAAAAAACAGACTCCCCCTGCTCCACCTCCTCCTCCACCTCCACCGCCGCCGCCTCCACCTCCCCCACCACCGCCGCCTCCTCCCCCGCAGCGGGAGACCAAGAAGCCCACGAGGATGATCGCGGAGGTCATCAAGGCGCACGAAGCGGGCAGCAAAAAGGTGGTGAAAACGAAAGGGAAGAAGGGCAAGAAGGCCAAGGCGAAGGAGAAAGAGGAGACGAGCAGCATCCTGAAGGAGCTGAAGAACGCCCTGAGGCCGGTGTCGGTGGACAGGAGGGGGGAGGAGGGCAGCAGGCCGTCCACGCCGATGAGGTCAGCCCACGATCAGCTGATGGAGTCCATCCGCGGTAGCAGCATCCGCAGCCTGAGACGGGTGAGTGACGTCTAAATTAGCGTAGAATTTGCTCCTAATTCTGTTTTTCCACGAAGAAACTGCATCAGATGCTAGATTATTTAGAAATGCACCGAGTCGCAAGTGGCACGACCCTCCCTTCTCCAACGGAGGTGAAACACTGCTTCATTGTGTGAAAGGTTGGCAAAAATACTGTGCAGAAACGCAAGCAGACAAGCAAAGTGCTTCATACGAAATTGCTGCAGAGCCTCTCCAAAAGGCAAAGTAGAGAGTTTAATTTAGATGAGGATGACACAGAGTCAGCGGAGTCTGAGTCATCTCTGTGGCTGACATGGTTCGTTCTGTCTCTGCAGTGGGTGAAGGCAGGCAAGAGGCCACCAGCGAGCACCAATCTCAATGCTTTTACAGCCAGAAAAAGGCCAAAATACAGCCACGCCGGTCAAGTATTTTCACCCCAGAGAGGACGATAAGAGGGTCAGAAAACAAAGATAATTGGAAAAAGCATATTGTAATGAAGGGAGTGTGTTAATATTTTGAGTGCGTACTTTATTTTTCTTTCTAAAGACAGATAAGTACCGTCCTCGCAGCATTTAGAACAGCTTGTTACATAGTTAGAGTGGAAAATCGTCTCTGCCCTCAGATAGCGGGGGTCTCCTCCCGTCGCTGTGAAATTCCTGCCACTTAGTGCGGATATTTATAGAGGCTGTTCATAGGAGCTGGTTGATAAAGACAGATGTAACATGTTGCCACGGCACAAACCAACAAAACAAAAAGGACATTATGCACACAAGTGACATAAGGACAGAGCTGAGTTTACGTTTCAAAACTTCCCCACATTTCGAGTTTTGAAAAATATGCGGATGTGGTGACACGGTGCCTATTTTGGCAAATGAGCAACCAGAAGAAATGAACTGCAATAAATCTTTTTCATTCACTACTAAAACTAAACGTTGTTGTGACCGTGTCAGAAACCAACTCTTTGATGCACCAGTGACTCATTTTCATCTCATTCCTAACTTTGCTGTCAGGATTATATTTTTAAAAACAGAAAAAGAAGGCATTTTTATTTTATTTCTGAGTAATAATTCAGGGTTGCCTCCTCAGAAAACCCACATTTAAAAAAAATATATATATTTTTTTTTGACCTGCATTAAAAACTAACATATCTCGTCATTTTCCAGGTGGAAGTCCCGCATCATCTCCGATAATACCAGGAGAAATGAAAGAGATCATCTCGTTATCAAGCTAAAAGGTGGAATTAACGATGGAGTGACCAACAGTGACGAAACCACTCAAGCGCCAAAGGTGACAACGTGGGTTTTCTGAGGAGGCAACCCTGAATTCTTACGCATAAATAAAATGTTTAAAATATATACTGGAAATTTGCACTGCAGTAACGACAGCTTTACATTTTAATAACGTGTCAGATTTTTTGTACTCACGATAGAAAAACGGTATGTTGATTTTGAAACGAGTTTGTTTACGTTTTCTAAATCGCTGTTTTCTTGTAAAATTGTAAATACGACCTTGTTGTTGTTGGTTGAGCTACTGTATGTTTTAATGTCTAAATATAGCCATTTGCTGTTTACAATACTGCTCCTCTGAGTATGCAGACTGTTGATTCTTTGGTGACTGGATGAGCTCCACTTGAAAGAGACGGGTCAAGCTGTCGTGGAGTTGTTTTTATCAGTGAGTCAGCGCACTGGTCAAGCGCCACTGATGCATATTCCCACTCCGACACATTCGCAGGACGCCCACTCCGGTTGTCAGAGCAGGGCTTTTTGCGCACTTTGAACAATTCACAATGCGTGATGAGTGAAAGGAAGGAATACAGTCACTGTGACATCAGTGTTTCAGAAAAATTTTCACAGCATCAAACACAAATCTGTGGGCTCCTCTTAAAAGCTGCTCGACATAATGCACTTTAAAGAAGAAGAAACAACACATTCAGACAGTAAAAGTCTGTTCAGGCCAGTGGAGACGGGTTTTTTTTTTTTTTTTGCTGGTGTAGCCTTATTTGATCTGATGCCCAACAGCATGTTCTGGCTAATGTGGATGGAGCTGTCATCTGAATTTGCTTCAAATGTGTAAATGTAACAGAGCTGTTTTGTATAATGCTTAAAATTAGCAAATGAAACAGCTGCTACAAAGCGTGTTTACGGAACAATGCTATACAGTGTCAGCAGCAGTAGTAGAGATAAGTTAGAAAAGTGTGTTAGAACGCAACATTTAGACAAAGATTGGCAGAATAAGCTAACATAAACGAGCTCATCTTAAAATCCTACGATAAGAACGCTTGAAGCCGCAGACTTTCAGCTTATTGCACACTTCATATTTCTTTTACTGCAATATTGGCTTTTTTTTTTTGCCAATATCCAATATGTCGATATGGTCCAACTCTCAATCAACCGATACCGATATATGTTTGTTACTGCAGCCGCACTTGCTTACATGCTTCACGACGCAGTTTGATGTCGTCATCATTTGCAGTAAATGCCAGTAAATGCTGGCAAAATCCAGGCTTTAGATCAGATTAGACAGAACTTTATGTATCTCCTTTATTTTACTGCTTTTCATCATAAGCAAAAAAAAACAGATAACGATATTGACAGATACTACATTTTTATGCCAATATCGGGCCCATCCCTATTTGTATTACATCGCTTTAAGACTTCAGTGCCTTTTACTACTTCTGTGAACAGTTTTGGTGCTGAAAATGTTTTATGTTCAGTGTTAGAATGTGTTTGTTTTTCCTGCAAACTGTAAAAATAGAATCAATGCATGCAACGCGTAAGACACATGGTTTCATTAGGAACATTAACCACTTAAATCATGACATGAGACGACTGCGATGCTGGGACAAAAATGAAGAGTTTTCGGGTTGAACTGCGGGCAGTGTTTCCACAGAGGAAAGTCCAAACTACTGGATCAATAAAATAAATGCAGCATGGCTCAGACACAGTGAACAGAGGAGCCAGTTGTTGGACGATACATTCAGCACGGGGAAACATTTTCTTGGATCCATTCGATGACTTCTGCTTTTCAATAACCTTTTCATGAAACTGCTTCTTGTGCACGATTGTGCACGTCATACTGACCGGTGACTTCCAGATCCAGGCGTCTTACACTAGAACTACTTGCGACACACTCAGATGATCTCCACTTCAGTAATCTTGCACCAGCGTTGAATTAGGTGGATCACTTTAAAGGGGAGGAACCCTTACGCAATCACTCATTTTAAATTTTTAGAACTGACATTGCTTTGTAGAAATCTTGCCTTGAAATCTATTTTCATTTTCCACTTGAAAGAGTCTGTTTTTGTAAGTTCTAACCCAAAATGAACCAAATTAAATTGACCATAATTTAATGTTGAAAAGCTATTAAAGGAGAAAACTTCCAAGGGGGGGGAGTGAATACTATTTATAGGCACTGTACAGGATTGAATGTGTGAAAGCAGGACTTTGTCTTGCTTCTAAATTTAGATCTTATTGATCACTTGACATTTTTTTAACTTGTGTGTGGTGAGTTTGACGTCATGGTTGTAAAGTCAGTAGTTTTGTCCTGAAGAGCAGCAGCTTGGAAATGGATCTGATGTGACCGTTGATTAACACGTAGTTTCGCAACATAAAAAAATGTATTATATTGGGAACTCTGCTGCATTAAAATGCACTAGAGAGCCATATAACCACCTGAGATGCCACACAGATAGGAGGCAGGCACTGATTGAGGGAGATGATGAATTAGCCGGACAGAGCGGTGACACATGGAGAGAGGAATAGAACACGAGAGGGGAGATGACAGATAAGAGAGTGAAAGCAAGAGGCTGAGAGATGGGAGCTATTAGTATCAGCCATCCTAATCCTGGTCTTGCATTTGTTTATGTGTCTTGGAAGAGTTCCCCAACTTTTAAATCCACATCGCAGCTGTTCAAAGACAACAGTGGGGGGACCCGGGGGTGGCAACGAGGAGAAAGCTACAAACTTAATTAAGCATTTCCAAATGCATAGTTGACATTTTTAGAATGGCTTCCAGAATGAAAGGCATGTTGTTAATTTAAGCGTATTAAAAAAAAAATCAATTAGTGTGTTTCTTTGAAAGCTTTGAAGTGCTTGAGGGAAGTTTGAGCATCTAAAATCTAAAATGTGCCAGCTGAACTCAACCCTCTTTTAATACAGGAAGTTACATAATCTTTTTATCTTTCTTTTACACGACATCCATGTTTGTCTTGTCGTTGGAATCTCCCTGAAATGTTCCCATCAGCCTTTGAAAAGAATAAATGGAAGATTTTTCTAAATAACTCACGCCACAACTCGGCCAACAACAAAAGGTTTGAACTCTAAACTGTACATTTTCTCACCGTAGCGGCTCCTCGGATGATTTTGGTACACTTTGGAGGACGGTTAACACGCTGACAAGGTCTTTTAATCTGCACCAAGGACTCTTAAGCTGGACTTGTGAAACGATGAGTAGGGCTCCAATGCAGAATACACTCCCAAGTGCAGTCGCTCAGTATGCAAAATACATTCCTTTTGCTAAGTACAAAACTTCCTCTACTCAAGCACGTCACATCTGTCAAACCGTTAATAGGGGGATCTTTCCATGAAATTCATCCACTGAAAGCTGAGACTTCCTGCTTACATATGCACTCAGGGTGGTCGCCGCTTTACCCTCATATAGAAGTCATGACATTGTTTTCAGGGTGGAGGTTTTATGCTTATTAGAAATAGGCAAGTTTTCCATTTGCATTCAGCTGCACAATATCCCAAAGACTGCAAATCACTCCTAAAATGTAGATCTAGCATACATTCAACTTGTTATATTCAACATAACGATTTGCTAGGGTCAAGTTATTAAAGTTATATGTAAGAAACAAACATTTCGTGGTCTTCTCGATTCACTGAGAAGACAATTGTACTGTACAGCTTACGTAATGTAGAAACTACTTCTATAAGGGCCGCTGGATTTCGATGTGTGCATTGGTCTCTATGGAAGCACTCGGTGGAAGAGTGGAAAGTACCATACCTGCTCTAAGCCCTCTCATAAGCTGTGCAGCAGAGAGAACTGATACAGGGTCAGATGATGTGGACATCTGCTAAAAATAAACGGTCAGGGGAGAGAATTGTTGTAGTCATTACAGCGTCTATTCTTGCTGCGACTTCTAAAAATACTACCGACAGGCCAATTTTGACTTCCTTCTGTCTCGCCCACACAGATTTAAAGACTTTCGTTTTGTGTAATTCTACCAACAGATACACAAGGAGGAGAGGAACAGCTGGAATTCACCGTCACACATGATTTAGGGTTTTTTTTTGTCCCTCACTCACCCAGTTTTCACTTCAGCTGATGAAACGGTACCAGTAAGGGCTGTAACAATCCTCTGCTCAGCTGTTATTGGATCTGCAGGTGATGAGGCTCGCGTTCATCACTCCTTAAACACAAATGCAAATACTCATATGACACACTGCGCTGGGAAGATTGTGATCTTTTACACACAATGCAACAAAGGCAAAGAAAGTATCAGGATCAGCTTTTCCTTTCTGGTAATAATTCGAGAATATCAATGTAAATAATAGACTTCAAAGCCTTAAATGCAAAACTAAACCAGTAGTTTTACAGCAAATAAAGTTTTATTTCTGAAATTATGCATTCTAAAAACAATCAAAAAAAACATCCACTCCTACAGGACTTGAAGGTAAAAGACATCCAAATACCCAAGTATGTAAATATCAACCTTTTATTGGAGTGTACAATGTAGAGTTCATTATTTGTCCAGGCTCTTTGATAAGACTTGGCGTCCGTAACATCTTATTAACCGAGTTACCTACAGAAGCTAAGATCAACAAAAACATGGCTAGGTTTGTTTTTTCCCCCCAAGAAGTATCGTAATATTTGACAGAAGAGGTCAGTTCCTACATCAAACAAGTGGCAATTTGTCTCTCAAAGACACAATTTGAGGACGACACTGACATTTCAACTATTTGACACACTGAGAGTTTCTTTATTGCGTCTTCTATTGTACGTTAACAGTGCTAGCATGCTGCTAGTTAGCGGACTGAAATGCTAAATGCTAATTTTTTTTTAAAGGTTTAGCTGCTGCACAGCTCATTAGCTTGTCAGTAAAGTTAGTGTTACTACAAAATGTCTCTGACTCTCAGGTCTAAAACAGACAAATTATTAGTTTTATGCCAGCTTTACAGAGAGGTTTTAAAAGTTACTTATTTTAGCTAAGAGCGAGCTAACTGTGGAGCGAAAACGGCCGCCAGAGAGAAACCCTGGAAATCCAAGCTTTGCCTTTAAGGAGAGAAGAGTTAGCGACAGTGAACATTTTGCCCTTCACTGCAAAGATTTAATGAGACTTTGCATTTAGAAAAACTAAATAAATTTTCCTCTTACCTATGTTAAGCCATAAACCTGCCTTACTTGACCAGTTAGCATGTGGTTAGCATTAGATTCCAAGAGTCAGGGGCAGCGCGGTTTGATTTTTTGCTGATATGATTCCCTTAACCGCAACCAGTCATGTCTTATGATGCTTAATCTGACCCAAACGTTAGCATAACTAGCTATCTGTGCCTACTCCAGAGGTCTAGAACCTAATTTGTGCCATTAGCATAGCTAAAATTTAATATGGATTACTTCAAGACAAACATTATCTCTCTCCATTTTGTTCTACTGTTAGTGCAAAAGTAACATTGTGTCGCTTTGGTTAGTAAAAATTTTGTAAAGTCTCAACATTTGGCTAAAATACTAGCTGCAAAAAGTTCATTTATTTTAGAGCCCGGCCGACACATCGGTTGGTCGATATTATTAGATATATTGGAGTAAGTTGTCTGATATGCACTGATATGAAAGCCTTCTTTTACAGAGCATAACACAGAAAAATGGGGGTATTGTTTACAATACTGTCATCACAACCTGCAGCACATGTAGCAGAGCACATAGTGGTGCCGAGTCAAACTTTGTCTTCATGCTAAATTGACAACTAGTTTGTGAGATACTGTTTTGAGAGATTGTGAGATTTCTGGATCGTTGATATACAATAACTCCATCATTTTTCCTTTTCAATATCACTCAAACATATCTATATATAAACACTAAACCAGTATATCGATATTAGAATCTGTCAACACTGGCATCGGTCGGGCTCTGCTTTCTTTTATTCTATATTGAGCCAGACTGGATAAATTACCCACCCTGGTCCAAGTGGTGCCATCACAGCTGTCTTTTACTACTAATTAAGCAGATTTTTAAAAAATAAATTCCCTAAATGATATAACATAGTATTTTAAGTGTTTTCCTTTGTGACAAATCCCCGTATGTCAACACAATAGTTTTTCTTTGTAGGGAACAATTAACCACCGTCTGAGTTCTGTATGTGATTCCTATTACCTGATTTACTAGTTAGTCAAGAAAATATTGATACTTGTTAGAAGAATGCCATGAATCTTAATGTTTCTCCCTAAAGTGTGTCAGCGTTTAATGTCTACAACAGGAAGAGCACTACTTTAACCCTGCTGTTTCTGTACAGTAACTTTGCATATGGACCCATTATAAGCATCAGGTGTGTAAAACTAAAATGTCTTTATTCCTCAAGCTTTACATGATGAATGACCTGATTCCAACAAACAGGCATTTATTAATACTCTGCTTGCTAATGTAAAAAAAAAAAAAAAAAGAGAGAGAGAGAGAGAGAGAGAGAGAAGAGAGAGAAAAAAAGTACAAATTCAACAGAATCTGTAGTGTGACCAAACAAAAAAAACTAAAATTCACAAGAGAAAGGCAGCCACGACGCTGTGGGCTGCCTCCGTTATGGTATGTAGTGTGGTGTGTTAACGGTTAAAAATGCTTAATGTCCAAGTGTATTCTATGTCATTACTTAAAGCATAATGTATGTTTCATGATGGGACCTGAAAATGTCCTGTATTCATGCAGCGAGTCTCCTCTTTTTTTCAATCTGTGCAAAAATATAACAAGACTCAAAACTCTGGAGCAAATTTACAGTCCACAGCAAATGAAGCTAAATATTCCAAAAAAGAGCCTTTTCTTCTTTAAGAAAATATGAGTGCTAAACTAGGATCATTTGAATACGTAAAAATAAACTACAGAGCAATAGGGTATGAAAATAGTTAATTTTCTTCTTTTTTTTCCCCTCCTAACAAACAATGACGACACGATTAATCAAAAAAAAATTGTGGCAACTCGTCTTGTTGTCCTGTAAGCCCTCCCTTCAATCACTGACCAAAAAAAACAACAACAAAAAAAGACATTCAAATCTAAGATTCAAGAAACAAGTTGATTTAAAATTGCACGTTAATCAGGGGAACATGGGAGGGAGCATGTGTGATGGGTGGCAGCAGATATGAAAGATGGCTGAGTGGCAGATGGAGGTGATGAACAGAGTTGGGGACGTGGGTGGAGGAGAAAGAGATACAGACCGATGGAGAAAAAAAAAAAAAAAAAAGAAGCCAAAAGTTAAAATGAGAGATGAGACATATAGACATATTGCTATAAGAGACAGATATGTAGCCAACAGAGTCCAGACAGACATGGCGAAGATAGAGAAACAACAACCTAAGGTGAGAATGACAAACATTTACAGATTAAATGAGGTATTGCACAGATTAATTAAAAAAAAAAGCATAAAGGCAACAAAAATATACAGCAAATTGATAGAACATTTACATTTATAATTTTGAAATTAAAGATTTCTTTTTTTTTTCTTTGTTTTTTTTTTAGAAAGACAAGAACAATTTTTAGTGTCATGATCATCCAGGGGGGTCGAGAAAAATCGTTAGTCGTCCCATTCATCATCATCCTCAAAGTCCTCCTCATCCTCGTCATCATCGTCCTCATCTGTGGAAACGAAGGAGAAAACATTTAAAAACAGTGATTTCCCCATCTGCGTTTTTTTTTTGTGTTCGGCGTTCTCTTTCTACCGTCTGTGAATTATTATGAGGACTACCTTCGAGCAGGAAAGAAAACGTTTTTTTGAACTGAGAGGCTTAAAGTGGAAAAAATGAGTCATGGGGATGTAGGAGACTGATGAGGAAGTACAGAAAGTGTCATCTGACATTCGCTACATGACGTAAAGTCTGAGCGCTTGCAGCTGGTGTCAAGTAACTGCTGCATTTTTTAAGGTTGAGGAGGGCGGGGAAGCTTCTCAGAGCATCACACTACAGGATCCAACCAAGCTAAATGTGAAATAAACCCAAATGCACCTCTCCAGCTCGGTCATTGACCTGCTTTACTTGTGTTAATATAGTACGTTCATTTGACTACAGTGTAGCTTGAGCACAGCTTTAAAAAAAAAAAAAAAAAAAAGTGCAACTACTTAATTTAAAGAGCCTATAATATGCTTTTTTTGGTATTTTCCTTGCCTTTAGTTAGATTTATGTTAATATAGAAGATCTGCAAACATACAAAGCCCAGAGTCCAAGCAAAAGAAGTTATTGTCTCACAAAAAAACACTCTTGCCTCCGTTATTAATCTATTTCACCATCTAACATGTTTGCATAATTGTACATATTTCTCTTAAATAATGAGAAGCCTCCTTACACTCCATTATTCCCTCAATTGAGTCTTTTCTGACAGAGCTACATCTTGATTCTAGGAGATCTGGGGTTACGATATGTAACCCATGTTGACTTGCTTCTGTGAGGAAAGCTGACCAGTAAGAGCAAACTCAACATGAGCTGTCTGTGTAAATGCTATGAACGGATAGGAAAAAACTCTTACAAACTCAAAACAGGATTAAAATATTGCAGGTTATTGAGGTCATTTCATACAAAAGAGAAAATATGATCCAGAAAGAGTAATCTGAGTAATAGGTCGATGAATTATTTGGCATATCGAACGCCAAGACACTGCAAAATAGTCGAGTCATGAAGAGGCTGACATTTGATCTGAAATGTATGATGACACATATTTGATGCGCACTTTGCCAAATGATGCTGTTTCAAAGTGGCAAAAGGTGAGTCAGGTTTAACTCTTGTCTTCTGCAGTAGTCCTACTTAATGTAAGCTGCTACAGGCCGAGGTGTCTGCTAAATGAATATCACATAATGTTGAGTAAAATAGGTTTGGTGGGAAGTGTTTTAACTGTTTAATTTAATTAGTTTGCAAATAACCATGATCGTAAACAAAATATGAAGGCAGGTGGCAGCCCCCGTCTCCCTGCTCAGATGCTGTAAACAAGCAAGGTGGGAAGCAGGACAGATGGCATCCCATAAAACCTGCATGGTTTGGCATTATTTTGAATGAAAAAAAGAGAAGCAGGCTGTTTGTTGGCTGTTTCAGAATCACCTGGTGTATAAATATCCAAACAGAGCAATGCACAAAAACATTTGTGCTCAGTTTTGACTGTCCTCTTACTTTTACACCAGCTGTCAAGACTAGATTTAAAAATCTGTTGAAAACGAGTCAAACATTCCTAGGTGATACATAATGATGATTAGAGTGTAAATGTGGTGTTTGTGTACCTGAAGAGTGAATAGCCTTGCTCCTTTTCTGCATCACCTCCATCAGGGCCCCGACGATGCCTGCCGATGGGGCCGGGGTGGAAGGTGTTGAGTCTGTGTTATCTTCTCTCTGCAAAGACGATGCATGAGCAGCACAGTTAAAGCAGATCAAACACACTGATTCACAGAGATGACAGGTGTGTGGTGAGTCAACACTCACAGATTTAAGTTGGATTCCTTGTCGGATTTGGTCCAGAAGTGCGTCTCTGCCGGTGCTGGACACCGGCCTCTCTTTCTGCTCCACCTTCTTCAGCTGGGTTCCTTCTCTGATCTGACTCAGCAGCGCCGACTTGTTCCCGGACGATGACAGGCTGCTGTCCCCTCCGTTAGCCTCCATGGACGGTGGAGGAGCAGGAGGAGGTGGGCCGGGAGGTGGCGGTGGAGGAGGAGGGGGAGGAGGAGGCCCACCGGCGCTGGATGGAGTTGAGGATGAGGGGGGAGGAGGCGGCGGGGGAGGCGCCACTGGAATCGAGGCGTGGGCCGGTGGAGGGGGAGGCGGGAGAGAGCCTCGGCTGGGCGGGGGAGGCGGCGGGGCGGACATGCCCGGTCGGGATGGAGGGGGAGGCGGGGGCGCAGAGACGGGAGCTCTGGAGGGGGGAGGAGGCGGTGGGGCGCCTCGGCCCCGCGCAGGAGGTGGGGGAGGAGGGGCTGAGGTGTGGTGAGGGGGTGGAGGAGGAGGACCGCCTCTGGATGGAGGAGGTGGAGGAGCTGAAGGAGGAAGAGAGAAAAACAAGGAGAAAACTTAGAGCGAGAGCAGAAAGTTCTCATCCAAAGGTGAGAGTGAAGCCGTGAAGAACGTCATTTCACACAGTTCTGACATTCACCGTCTGCACACTGACTTCATGAAGGAACAGTCGGAAGGTCACTAAAGCTTTCACAGCATCTCAGTCCACAATGCTTGTCAGTTCCCCTTTTCTTGCTGTGTGCCAAGTCATGCAGTTATAAAGTTAAGCCACAAGGGGCAGGCTTCTCATCCGGGTTAATTTGATTAGCAACATCTTTGTCAACAATCTTTAAAAATAAGATGTTAACAAGTTCAAACTGAACCTCAGAACTCCATTCAAAATTTGTAAGAATCATTTAAAAACATGCTTTTCAGTTTTTAAAATCGCAAAAGCTAGTTTGGACCTGCTGCTCCTGAACGACGAAACGCCGTCAACTCACATGCAAAGTTGCCCAGAAGTTTACAGGTATGGCCAACCTTTACGTTAGGCAGAAGTTAAATAGCAAACAGGATTCAAAGAGGTATCACTGCACGACAATAACACCGAGAAATGAAGGAAATTTGTCCAACGTGGCGAATGTCTCCAGCTGGCTCAGAGTCAGCAACTCAAGTAGAATCAAGAGCCAAACAGCAAACTACTGAAGTAACTGCAGAGACTGTTGGATTCATAGTTTGACTCTACATGCACAGTCATAGGCTGTCACAGCAGGTCATGCACAGAGACCTACCGCTCCACCTGGGCGGACCTGGGGATAAAACCACCACACTAGTTACAGATTGTCTTTATTGACAACCAACCCATTAAACACATTTTCACATAACGCGTGTGCCGAAAAAACACAATGTGCTTTATTTATTGTGTCAAAGTACCAAATCTGTCGACTAAAGTCAGCAAAGTGATGTTGGGTTGCACCTTTTGGGTGGCATCTTCTCTTGTATAATTTCCAATTCAAATTAAGCATCCTGTAAAAGCTTAATTCTCTGTAAATGGGTAAACGCTGAACCCAGATGGCCTTACCTTGTCTCCGTAGCTCATTTTTAACAGCCTCCACGCCTCCCTTCTTCTCGATGAAGTCGTAGATGACCTTCGAGGTCTCCTTGTCCTTCAGCTGGGCCTCGGAGATGCCACACATATCAAACAGGTTCTTCAGCTCTGGGTCCAAGTTGTTCAGCTGAAGAAATAACACAGAGGAAGACTTGACTTGTAGCATATGTACTCACATAGTAGATACAAGTCAGCCCAGATCTGACTGAATTCTGCTGCACTAACAGGGTTATGTACAGCTAGAGAGACACAAACACTGAAGAGATTAGCAATGATTGTACAATTAAATGCATACAAATAGTCTAATAGATGGCAATGACATGAGAAGTCATCAAAGCATTTTTCAGGACACAAGCAGAGACTTCAAACGATTAACTATGTGAACTCCAACATCTGTCCGTGGATTTGCAAGGGCAAAAAAAAAAAATCAGCTGAACTGGGTTGAACTGCAGACAGGAGGCAGTAAAATATTTATATTTAGAACAAAGAGCCACCATGTTTTCCCAGTATTGGTAACAACTGTGGAGCTCTGGGAAATGTTATGCAAGTCTATTGCAGGTATTTTCAATTTTTGATGAAATAATTATTTAAAGAGATGTAATTTTTGATTATACTTGTTTATGTTTTATGACATATCTTTAAGATATTTTGAAGTTATTTCTGCTTCTAGCCATAGTCGTGTTGTCTCCACAGAGTTCCAGGACTTTCTACGATAAGGCGAAAATGAGGCCACAGTGAGTAAAACTGTGACAGTAGCAAAAAACATGTTTGGATTTCAGAGGGTTCAAAACAGAATGTGTTCCATTACTGGAAATCAGGATGACAACAAATAAACTCTTTAATGACCACTCAACTAATGCCAGTGCCACGGAAAGTCTTGTTTTATCTGAAGGTCAAAATCTTCATCTTTTATAAAAGCCAAAGAGTTTAATTTATTGTAATGGAAAACAAGAAGCAAGCAAGAAAGTCTCACATTGAAGAACTTGGTTGGAAAACTAAGCAGTTATCACCAAAGCTGCAGATTAATGTTCTGTGAAATCACCATCGCCGTTCTAACGTGAATATAAATACATTTCCTCGAAAGGCAGAATTTATTGTGTGTCGCTTAGATTTCCTGCCAGCAACCGCAACTGAACAAAATGGGTGATATGATAAAAAAAAAAAATTAAAAAAAACCTTGTCCAAGGAAAAATCTAATAATATTCTCCCCGTTCACATGACTGGTTAGGAGTAAACATCACCAGCATCTAGTTTTGCATGATTACAGGCTCCTTGGATCAGTCTCCTAACAGTAACGGAAACATGCCGGCTACAACAGAGTGACTTTGCTGCTAATTATCCGTCATGTACCAACACATTCCTGCACATACACAATCGCTTGCTCTATATGTTATGTGACCCTCCTGGTGTTAATCTGTATGTATGAGCTCAGCAGCTTAGTGACACGTCGTGTGATTGACACGTCAGGAGCACAGTTTGGTTTGGTTCAGATTAGAGACGCGTTTGAAAAAAGCAGTCAGCTTGATGTTGGCTTTTAGAAACGTGTTGACAAGATCAGTCAGTAGCTAAATATGAGGCTCAACTTTCTGTAATGCTATAGTTTCCTTTGTGGAGACGTTTCTAGTTAAAACTCTGGAATAGCTGAAAAAGAAATCAGAATATGAGCTGTTATGCTGCCACCTGGTGGTGTCGGATTTGAATACAACACATGTGACCGGGGCTTTTATCAGGATTTGTTCCAAGAGTTCCCCCTCCAGCTCTTTCAATTTCTCTTACTGTGTTTCACTCTTAGTAGAGATGACAATGACATGAAGCCTAAGCCTTACTCATTTGAGTCCATGTGTTCAGTGTCTCAGGGAGGTTTGTAGGTTGTGATGGTGCATCAGTGTCACATAAAGGTGAATCTCATCGTCCTAATATTCACCGTTTTGTTTTAACATCATTTTCTCCCACCATGACATGTTATATAAGTATTTAAATCTAAATGAACACAATGCAAACAGACCTCAGCTGCCATCTTATAGAAAACTGGAAGCAGGATTATTCTAAGAACCTCAGGCTTATATGGCAGAAGGATTTAAATTTAAACATTGATAAGAACTCTTGGGCAAAGATTACTTCGAGTGCAGGCTAGTTTCATAGGAGAAACTCAAGGAAAACTTACACAGATACTTAATCAATACTATTCTACACTTGTTAGTCTTCATAAAATGACTTTATTGGCAATGACTAGAATATAATTTGTTCTGGAAATGTAAAAAGCACCTTTATACAGTCATTATGGGCTTGTCATCCAGTTCTGTCACAAAACAATAAAGGAGTGTTTAAGTACGCCTGTGTTTGAATCAATTTAAGTTTGTCTCTTGGAAGACAGATCATGTTTACCCAAGATTTCCAAATCAGCTCTGGCTCGAACAGGTTTTGTCTCAGCTGCTGGGGTTATTCTCTGTAACTGGGAAATTTAATGACACAGAATGCATCATCAGAGATAATGATACCCAACATGGACAACCGTGAAGAGTCATATTAGCTTGTCTGGAGTTTGTCTTCTATTAAAGGAGAAAACATAGAAGTTGAACACTATACTTTTGGAGAAATGTATTTGCCTTTTGGATGTATGAGTCATGTCTCTTTCTCCTTTAATTAACATACAAGGAAAAAGAGTGGGTTTAGTTTATGCTTTGGTTGTGCCACAGGGACGATATGTTTGTTTTTCTAGGTTTGAGCTCGAGGTTACTGATGACTCCTTCAAGAACTGGTACTGTACAAACTGATCTTTGAATTATTGATAATACAAATGCTGCAGAAATTATGCTGTACTTTAGTCTGTGCTGCTGTAAATATTGTCTATGTGCTCATTTATTCATGGTAATGTTTTATTAAAAACTCAAAAAAAAAAAGTGAGATTATCCCTTGAAACTTGGAACTTATTTGAAGCTCTTAACTTTTACTTACTTAACTCTTTACTTTATCTACAGTATATGTGTGCTAAGGATAGAAAAGATATCGACAACTATAGCTGCTAAGACCGTTTAATGTTTCACTTCCTCTTTTGTGAATCCTCATTCGTGCCTCGGCTTTAAAACCCCGAGGATTTGAGAGGTACGCAGGCTCTGATAGACTGACGTCACCTGTTAAAATCAATCTAAGTCCTTGAAAGCATTAACTTGAAACCGAAATCATCTGAACTTCATTTTTTTCATTTATAGACAGAATAAGTCCTCTGACCTGTATGATCTCCTAGCCATCATGCAGGATCCAGCATAATTACTGATGATGCTTTTTGGGAATGAGTCCATGGATTATGCAGATGCAGGTCGATTCTGTTCCCTTCAAAATCTCCTTGTGTAACGTTTCTGATGACTTGGACACGCAGCTCGGCTTAATATTTTGGAGCTGATATTAAATTTGAAAAATCTGTCTGGAAGAGGGAGCCCTGACTTACAAACTGATAGGCGACAGGCCAATTTTGACGAATGTTTAGGAGTCACATACTGCGATATGTGCAGACACACCCAGACAAACAAACACCCACGCATTGACATTAGGTTAAATGAATGCTGCTTACATCGAAGCCGGTGTTTGGATCCCATCCTACATGGCCAATGTGTCTGTAAGAGAAACACAAGAGACAGAATGTGAGATACGATCTGGTTAAAAAAAAAAAAAAGAAGGGAGCTGGACAGAGGAGATACATGGTACACAATGGGTTTTGTATTTACACAGAAAAGCAGACAGACATACAGAAGGAGGTCACCTGTGTTTCCAACCAGGTGGTCCATTAGTAACCTACAACATCTGACCCAACACATTGAGAGCTGCCGCTGACACTGTTTGCATTATTTATCTTACACATATTGCACAGAATTGCACTCAGAATATAAACAGCCTTGATTAACGCCACCCCACACACACAAGTTCGCCAACTCTGGGCCAATATGTCACATTTCCGTAAGCAACTGAAAAGCCATCAAACACAAAGCTCTTGTGCTTTTAAAGGTGAGTTTTAAAAAATTCTGTCCTTATCAGACCCCTACCCTTGATATTACCCGGGCTTAAAATACATTTATTATTCTGTTCCTGTTTTGTGTGGAAAACCAGTTGAACTAGAAAACACTGAGGAAGCATCTGTTCCCCAAAGGCCACAGCAAGTTCTTCACATTTAATGAGTAGGGCGGACTAGTAGCAATTTAGTTTTCACTACTGGAAATGACATCTCGACATGCCAATCTGCAAAGTACAATTCCATTAGTGCTTAACTCATGATGTCAGCGTTGAGTTAACACTTCAACTCGTAAGCAATAAATCCTTCTGTGGGGGACATGTTATACTTTAAAAGATGCCACAATTACACCATTTGTCAGAGCCAGCAATTAAAAACAAAACCAACAGATTCGTAACTTTTCAGTGGTCTTTAACCCACTTATCTGTTTATGCTGTTCAGTCAGGAAAATTTTGTGAAATGTAAGCTAATAGTTGTGATATTTTATCAAAATCATTTCATTCTACATGTCTCTTACCAAAAAAAATTAAAAAATAAACCTCTTGCACCAAGCAGAATCTGTAGAAAAATAAAATGGCTGTTTCCATAGAGGTGCAGGACTTTATAATGCCATAAAAAAAATGAGGCCACAGTGATTAAAACTGTGACAGGAGCAGAAAACGTCTACCTCTTGTGGTTCAGAGGAAAGGTTAGAATTGGATTGAAATTGGTCCAAAAGTAGTTGTTGATATCTACAATTGCTATTCCTGCAACTGATTACATTTTACAAAGGCTCCACAATTTAATTAATGTTAATGAAATTTTCCTGATGGAATATAGCAAAGTGCAACTGGTTGCTTGATCTGGATACTTCTGCAGATAAAGAGCAGTACGCTGATCTACACTGGTTTTTAGAGCTTTGTATCATGATGAATTCTCTAAGTGAGAATCATGACCAGAGTAATGATTTTGAAGTTGATCATACTGCTGTAGCGCCACCTACAGGTTAAATGCCAGATGCACAATATTTGTGTAAAGTTATGGGTGTTTAGACAACACGGTACACCAAAATGATTTTTGTGACTTCAATGACAGAGTTTCAATACGCTACACATTAACATCATATGAGTGCCAAACAACATGATCTGCAATAACCTTAGAATCGTTTCCCACAAACCAACACTACGGTCATTGTTGATCCAGCACCTGAAACAAACTCGCCCCTGTCAGTGTCTGTGGTGACTCACTGGAAGTTGCTCGGTGTGCCGATGTCTGCCTTCGTCAACCTCTTCTTCTTCCCCCCTTTGTTCTTCTTCTCCCTCTTGGGGAAGGACGAGTGCACGATGTTGTTCACCTGAGAGTTGTTGTGGAAACGCTGAACACTGTTGATCTCTGGGTTTTTGATGTCGACAGTGGCCATTGGCAAAGTAGGTCCTGGAAAATGATGGAGACGGGACTAAAGTTACATTTTACATAACAGCACGTAGAGGACAGTCTTATTAGAAAAAAAAATTAAAAAACAGAGACAAAATGAGCTGTGGGGTTTTCCACGACATTTATGGAGTATTTTTAAACACTGAATGCAAATAATTCCTTCAAACTAAAAGGGAAACACGTTATAAAAGTGTTTAACAAGTCATGAAACATGATAAATGGCTTTGACCCCATATGGAAATCTGAGCATGAGAATTTTCCAGGCCAGTGATGTCCTTTTAATTATGTAATCCATTATTTAATGACTATCACAGATTTTGTGTGGAGCAGAGATGACACGAAGGGCATGTTTTTATGATCTGTTGCTGAGATAAAGGACTGAGAATAGTACATAGCACATAATATATGACTGGCAGGTTATTCAGACTAAATCACAGCTCTGGGTGACACTGAAAGCTGACACTAAGCAGCATCACTCGACTGTCTCTGAGATATAGAGGTTTGCTGTGCAACTTGTTCCGTCAGTTCGGTGACCTACTATGAGATTCAAGCTGCGTTCCCATTCATTCTTAAGTGAGTGCACTTTTGCTGATAATGCACGCCTCAGTCAGTCATCCAATCAGTCAACAAACATTGTTTTATATGTTTAACCTACATAAAAGAAGATCTTGAGTTACCAAACTACAAAACACATTCGTTTGCATTTTAACTGTAATAATGAAAATATTCTTGTGTTTATATGTCAATACATGGAATAGGATGACTCCTGTTTTTCTTTTCAATCTATGAAAATGAACTGGACTAGATAGAGGCCATGCACAAATCCCTTAAGTCCACATCGTAATGTAGACACGTAATCACAACAAGTCTTGCAGCATCTGTACTGTACAACATGCAGCCAAACAACACTGAATTTACACCAACAAGAAGAGAAGTCCTTCACCGGATTTGTACAATACACTTCTCACAAGTGTTTTCCACCTGTTTCTCTATTCTGTCTTGTTTCCTAACCACAGCAGCTCTTCCTCGTACAGCTGGAGCACATACCTCCAACACTCTCGCTACAGGGGCTTTTGGGAGTTTTGCTGGGCGAAGGCGAGGCCGACCGACTGCGTCGCCTCCTCACCCTGTCCCAAATACAGCCTCCATCTCGCGCTCCGCAGGTGGTCATGCTGACGTCCAGGAGCATTTTGCCCACCAGGCTGCAAGCTCGCTCTTCGGCGCAAACGGAGAGCCGAGCGGTGGGGTCGGAGAGAGACGGGTACAGTTCGTCCTGAGGGAGAACCAGGCAGTGTAAAGAAGAGAGACAGCCACCGGGGCCCAAGCCTCCGCCTCCTACAGCTGCTCCACCTCCTCCGCCACCCTCACAATTGAGTTCCTCAGAGGGAGTCGACAGAAAGGTGGTGCAGAACATCATGGTAGTTGATGGCTGGGCATGAGAGATGTGGTTTTTGAATGCAGACTAGGAGCTAGTTCTGGCACCAAGCAGATCTTCTCTCACAGTTGAGATGAAAAGGATCAGGAACACAGAAGATCTTCAGGTGGAAAAGCCACAGAGGAAGGTTCTTATCCCCAAGAATGGTTCCAGTCTTCTCAGGTAGAAGGATGTTTTGAAAACTGAAATACAAGATGGCCCAAGATTTCCAAAACTACAAAAAAACAGGCCACCTTGTGATGCGCCAGAGACTTCATTTACTGGAATGACTTCCTCATCAGGTGGAGTTGATCTTCATAATGTCTGAGCTGCAAAGGCAGACATCCAGCAATGCCCTCGGAAGAGAAAGGAGCCAGCAGCCAAAGTTGATTCTTCGTCCTCTATTCCCTGCTCTCAGATTAAAACGCTCACATTGGCTGGCTGTGACTGTTTCTCCACCCACCTCCACTACTACCTCCTCCCTTTCCACGCAAAACACACAAATGGATCTAATCCCAGCAAATTATTCTGGATTTAGGGATGGATTTTTACGTAACCATTAAAACCCAGCCATGGCATAATCCCACGTTAATCTCTGGGGGTTCTGAAACATGATGAATCAGTGGGGTGAAAGGAGGAGTGAGAAAGGCAGGGCGACAGAAAAAAAAGAGGGCGAAAAGAGGGAAACTGAGACAGATTAGAGGAGGAGATGAGGGTAGAGGGCGCTTGAGGATAAATAATGAGCGCATGACCCGGGAAGGGCGGCAGGAGAAAAGGGCAGAACAGAAGGAAAACCAGACTAGAGAGGACAGAGCGATAATGTAGACAGATGAAACGGAGATACTCCTGAGGGAGGATGAGGAAATGAGACTGTTTATATACTAACATGCAATTCTTGAGAACCTGAAATGATGCGTGACGAATTCAAGAGGGAAACTGGTGTAAATATTTATATATGATTGCACATTTAGGCTCATGTACATGGAACAGGTTCCTTTTAAACTGCTTGGAATTTGAACCTTAACAAAGCAACATAAGAGAAAAATCTGAATCCTTGGCTGTAAATAAAATCCACCTTTAGTGACTTCTCTGATGTACATATAGTTGTTTGGGTATGTCAAAGCAAAAAAATAAAACCGCAGCATCCCCATTGATATGAGCATCAGCTAAATGCCTAAACGTGTCATTTGCATAGTTAACACCTTTATATTCCTGCACACAAACCCGCACACACACACACAGATATTAATAAGCCAGCTGGGTCACATCATGCAGCCTGTCAGTCCAAAACTGGTTCATCTCCTGCCCCTGCTGTCTCAAACTAGGCTGTACGTCTTCTGCCTTGAGGAATGTCCAAAAACCAAGCGTGCAAATATCCACAAATGTGTCCATCTGTTTAGTCATCACACCATTAATGAGTGGCAGAACGATGCCACAAAAGGGCAAGACTCCACTACAAGACGCTGCCACATCATGTTACACTCAGCGTAATCACATAGTACTGGTATAACGACGCGGAAGTTTCTGTTCGTCCTGATTCCAACAGGACCGTGAGCCACAATTATAATTAACAAAGAAGTTTTTCTTAGAAGTTCTCAACCCTGCATTTATGGATTAGCAGGAAATATGCCTATGAAGCTTGTTTGTGTCTACTGTTGGAAAAACTGTTGATGGATTTTTTTTTGAAGTTCTTTTAAGATTATTCTTTCTGAAACACAAAGCAGTAAAGAATAATTAAGGCGGAGGATAAGAAGCAGAGCAGTGGTGTCCTGATTAGCTACTACAAAGTAGCTGCACATATTGTACACTGCTTGCACTATCAAATAATACGCTTTTTAAACTCACACAAAATATCACAAAACTTGAAACTCATATTAATCAAAGACTCATTTACCAATTAAATTACTCATAATATGTTTTGTTTTTTGAGCTGTTTCACCACAATTGACAAGAATTTGTTTCCAGATTCCTAGATTTCCATGCAGTTCAAAAGTGTCCACTCTAAATACAACTTTTTTATTTATTTTTTTGGGCATGTTGTCACTTCCCTAATGGGAGCACAGATTGAAAATTGTTTTAAGTTAGTTTGTAATGTGGAATTGGGACACCGCTGTTGATTAGATCATAATAAGTCTTTCTATATCTTAAATCAATCCTTTTGGTGTTAACGTTTCTCCTCATAGATGCCAGATTGTTGTTGTTTCCTACATACATTAAATTATCCAGAAACTTCACCCATCTGACCTAGTGAGCAGATTGACACAGATGTTTGCCAAAAAACCATCAGACACAGGTTTGACTCTGGTTTTACATTTTTTTTCCCTGATTATCTCTGAAGGAAACAGTGGAAAACGTACCATTTGGAGGGTCGCGTCTCTTCTCTGTGAACACAGACAAATTAAATCATTACTATCCTGTGCCAAGTAGCGGCTTGTGTTAATAAGAAGTGACGGAGTGCGTCAGAGCGCAGATGTACAAAGATAAGAGAGATTGGTTGTATTTTGAGGGCAGGATTCGGCGGGTTTGTGCATGTGCTGCACAGAATGGAAAGTTATTCGGAAATATATTGCCAAGCAAAGTGATCCGTTAGTGTGTTTAGGAGACGTCAATCGCACACTCTTACCCACACACATTACATCTAATGTTGCATCCGCACATACCTTCAAACATACAAAAGCCTCTAGAGGACAATTAAAAATGTTTCCATCTCATATGAGACTACAAAAAATATAAACACTCGTACATAAGAAGCACAGAGGCTGTTAATTAAGGGTTACTCTGCAGAGCTGAACAAAAACACACACACACTTCAAAATACTAATGGCTTGGGTTTTCCAGAAGAAGCCTTGTAGATAAGATTAGGCACCCAATGCAGAGGGCTGAGAGGGAAAAGATGAAAAAGAACAATCCATTTAAGAGGTCGGGAAATGACCCGCAGAAAAGGAAGAAGATGGACGGATGGTTTTGATCAAGCACATGATGATACAAGTTAAGAACGGAGAGTCAATCACAAGTTTACGAAGGCATCTCTGTGGCTGTGGATAAACACTGTGTTTTTAATTTAATGCTCAGTTTGTGAGTGTTCATATCAATGCCTTTCCTTTGATGAAAAAATGAGACAAAAGGTAAGATACAGACTTAAATTTAGGTTAAAAAAAAAGTTCCATTACATTTTGCAAATTCTAACTGTTCTTGTTGGTGCTGTAGGAAAGCTGGTTAATGCTCGACAATGATATTTTTTAAAAAAAATGTGTGAGCACTATTGATTTGTTATTGATTTGTTTGAGGTTCTGTAAAAAACACAAAACTCAGTAACCCAATTTGCCAGTCACATAGTGAAAATTGAGGGAGTTTTGGGCTGAACTGCAGGCTGTGTTTACACAGTGCAGATAGGAGACAAGCATGAAGATAATTAAAAAGTGTAAGTAGTAAATCATCTGTAGTCTGTCGAGCCAACACTATAACACCTGTGGGCACTTGGGAAAATGTTGATTTCAGGTTTTTTCAATTTGCTATCCTGCACAAAGCCATTTATGATTTCTTTACTTCAAGATATTGTTGTTCTATGTCCATAGAAGTGCAAGACTTTATAGTGCAGTTACACAGTAAGTAAAAATGTGCCAGGTGCAAAAAAATACCCAGACAATGTCTGGAGTTAACAAAAATGCATTTCATAAGAAAATGGTCAAAAATGTCTGCACCTAATGAATCACCACGTTCAGTTCATTATAAGTAAACCACGGACATACTGTCCTCGTGAGAGATGAAAAGGCAGATTTGTTTTCCTCGTTTCAACCTGAAACTGTAGTGCCCCCCTTGGGTCAGTCGGCATAATTTTCCAAAAGTCTGGGTGCAACACTGTTATGTTCAACTTTTTGGTTTTGTGGTGGTTATGTGGAGAAATTGAGCTTCTATGAAAGCATTTGAAAGGTTTTCTTGCAGCACCAAATGTTAAGATGACTTTAAAGATGTGTTTCTTTTATGTGAGCTACGTCATTATAGGACAGAACTCTGCTGTTGTTGATGTGTTACCGACAGCTTTAAAACTGAGAGGATTGTAAATGAGAAGAGGAACAAAAGACAGTGTGGTGAACAGACCCAGGCAAAAAAAATCCTCAGCTTTTATCAAAACACAATATTTTGGCTTTCAATAGACTCAAAATACATCTTCCATCATTCCAGTGTCTCATGTACTGAAATTCTGACATTTTTGCCCAGTTCTGTTTAGTTGAACAGTTCCAAAAATGACAAGTTTAGAGATTAATTTGATCTTGTGCTCCCATTAGTCAGACAATTTCCAGCCAAAACCACTTACTGCAGTTTTTAAATAGACTGCAGGGACGTGATTTGACTTGAAGTAATCTCAAAAAAGCGGGTTTATTTTGAACACAAGGTAAAATAAAAATCCCTAATCATGTCATTTTTTCAGCAAGTTAGATAAGTGGTTAGGTTTGTAGGTAAGTCAGCAGCAGCGGTAAGACGGTACCAGTTTTCCTCTGTCGTCGCCCGACTAGTTCCGACACGTGGCCTCGGAAACGTTTGGCCTCCTCCTCGTTGGCAAAGTTCAGACCCACTTGGCATGTCTGTCAACACACAAAACAACAGATATTTGTTTCTTTTATGGCTGAGTTTCCAAACCCATTCCCTCAATGTGTCTACAGCGACCAGTCTCAGCCTTGTCACAACAATCAGCAGTGCCACATACCTCATGGTCTGCTGGAGTCTTATCCACTGTTCCCACCAGTTTGCTAAACATCTTGCTGGTGGGGTCTTGTCACATGAAAAACTTTAGATATGACACAGAGCTAAAATTTGTAGTGCAAGGAAGCAGATGCTGCAGTGCCTTTTAGTGGGCAAAGCTGTAAGGTGACTCACACAGGCCGTCCGTGGCATGAATTTTGATGAAGAAAATAAGCTCTGTGATGAACTATAACTGATCCTGACATGTTTTCATGTTAAATGTGATTTCTGATTCCAATTATTGATTCCTGAAAGCAGCATTAGGACTTAATAGGTCCATTATGGGGGTAGGGTTTACAATATGGCAGACAGGAGCTCTTTGTGTGGTTGTAGGATTGGTACATTTTCTGTGCTGGGCAAGCGACAGACTATATAGGAGTCTCTAAGAAAACTGAAAATTCAAAGTAGTGAATAAATGTCAACTAACCCCTGAGGTTTCAATTTAAATGTTTGTTTTGTTTGAAGAGATCAGTAACCTTTGCAAGTGTTTCTGGTGTCAACACCTTGATTAAATAAAGCCTCTCCAATCTTCCTACCCTCTCCTTCTGCATTTTCATGACTAGATAAACATTAACAAGTTGTAAACATCCTCATTTGTAACAAAATGCTGCTGACTTGGCATACAGAGGATCAGAAATAAAATGACTACCGTAGAGAAGAGCAACTCACATCTCCAGCAAATGTCATGAAGTATGGTCTAGGGAGGTGTATGCTGAAGTTGTTGTACAGCTCCTGTTCAAACATCATCTTCCCGTCCTGTGGAGAAACAGAATAAATAGATTATTAGCAAAAACAAAGCAGATTCATGCCACAGGTCTCATCAGGAAGACCAACAGGGACTTGTTCCTACATTTTTGTTTTACTTTAACACTGTTTTACTGCACAGTTTCAGCGCAGTGGCTATAAAATCACAGCATAAAGTCTTTACGAACATTGAATGATGGTAAACCATTGTTTGATCTGGTGATGGTCATGTGCTGTTTGTTACGGTGATAAATCATCAACGTGCACTATTGAGTCCTGCTTCCTCTTCACCTACCCTGACGTCAAAGACCCTGATGAAGTAGGATCGCTGGGGGTTGTCTTTGACCAGACAGGCCACGCCGCAGCATCGCTTGTTCCAGCTGGAGTTCCTATCTCCTGTGAACACCTGGACCACTGCTGAAGACAACGTCTGGAGGGAAGGAGGGGGACAGAGACAGAAACAGAGAGTCACTACAAAAGCACAGCCATTTAAATGCAGCATTTAAAACAGGCATTTAAAAGCTCCACGTTATAGAAAAAGAGGAAAACAAAATATAAAATAAAGATTAAGAACACGATAAGCTTTCAATCTATGAAACTACTAAAGGTGATAGTCTCGCTAGTCTTACTGCTCTTCTAGGTTTCTGTGAGCAACTGTACTTTAAACCCATGTTTGCAAAACTCAAGATCTGTGAGTTGCAATGTTTGAGATATAGCAGCAGCAGCAGCAACAGCATTGTCAGTGTTTAGGGTGATAGGTGATGAAATGTTGGACTGAGATCCTACAATCTCCAAAAATCAGCAAAAACTAGGAGAAATATGAACTCTACAAAGCCTCTTTGGTCAGAGGTTTGTCGGCTGGTTGTTTCCAGTTAGACTGGCCACCAAGAGGCTGTGCAAGTTGTCCACACATCAGTTAACAGTTTGATCCCTGATGAACCTCAAATATCACCCAGCTTTCTGCCAACAGTGATCAAAAGGCAAACTGTACCATGTTTTGCACATTTGACAAAACTGGAAACCACTTTACTTTAATCATCATAGAAAAATGCTTTGGTAATGATAAAACTTGAAGCCCAGTTGGGGAAAAAACTGACTTCTCATGCACCAAACAAAGTTATCACCATTACACATAGTAGCTGCGGTAACATGCTGTGAGCTGTCCAGTGGTGTCCACAGAGAGATATGCAAGGATAAGGAGAAAGCTGAGATCAGTTAAATCACAGTTTTGCTGCACAGTTGCAAAAGTATGTCGACAAACAGCATAAAACCAGATGTTTTAGAACAAGAATGACTAAGTCATTGGCTTTGCTGACCAGAATCCCAAAGAAAATCTGCAGAATAAGTTAGATATTGATATTCTCATATGTTCACTGACTTGACTGTCTGAGTGTGTCTTTTTCATAATGTAGGGCTAAATTCACAAGAAAGATTTGATTACAAAACTATCTGAAATAGGCTTTGGTGCAAACATAAATCAATTCAGCTGTTCCTGTTGAATTGTAATTATCCATAACACATTAAATCACACACCAGATTTTTTGCTTTTTATAAACATCTTTCTTAAATATAAATACAAATGCCCCACATATAATAATAATAATCTCATGTGCAGTGTCAAAACACAACCACAGACTCAGTGACAGCAGCTCTGCAGAGGTCAAGTCATTTGCCCTGCAGTCTCTCAATGCCAAACATGTAACAAGCAGCAAGTCCTACACAATGACACTGATAAGGGACAAATCTTCTCTACCGAATCTAAGCTGCCTTATCGAGGCTACTAAAACGAACATGAACTTAAACTGATTTTATTTGCATATTATTTCACTGTTGGAGCACAGAATCTGCCTGACGAGACCTGTTTGACCCCGGTGGCTGTAAGTGGCAGAGCAAGGTGTTATCAAAGCACGCCTTGTCGCACAGGATTCAAATCACCCGCAATGGATGCAAAGAGGGACGTGGGTTTACTTGCTTTATGCATTAACAAAACTGCAATCATTACAGCATCTCCTCAAGTCTACAATCCCCAAAGGATTCGGGCTAAATTAAGGTTTAGCCCACACATGCGTCTGACGCCTGCCTTAATGACTACACATGGTAAAGTGAAGTGTAAGAGACATCTCAGCAGTCTTTCTTAAACGATATGTGCCATGCTGCTTATACAAAGTGGTAAAAAGGCAGAGGGAAAACAAAAACAGAGCATGGAGACAGAAATAGGAGCTACCTTGAGCTGCACTTCTAATCCCATTGCTAGTTAAATACATTTATATAGCTGTGTTCCTGCTAATGAAGCAGCGGGATAAAAGGCACAGAAAGGCAACATCTGTCAATTTTAGACAAAACTGCATATTATTATGTACACACACGCTAAGAACACTCCTGCAGCGAACACACAGAGACATGATCATAAGACGACATTAGACTCCAGCAGTTTTTACAGGTGACTGCTGGGGTTTTCTCCCCCAGAGGGGTCCAGGTCATTAAACATGAAAGCAGGAGCAGCATGAAGGGAAATACCTGGTGATGTTTTCGGGGCTTTTTAACTCAGCTCAGTTCCAGGAAGTGCTGCATACGCCGAGACAATGTGCAGACCTGAACACTCGCATTGTTCTTTGTAATTTAAAGCGAATGGGGAATATAAAGAAGATTTGTTTAATAAAAAGAAAAGCACCTGAGGATTTCCAAGGTGGTTTTCCTGGGTATTTGTCTGGCCTTTACACTTCTGTTTTTTTGTGGATATGCCGTTAGATGTCGGTTACAGTGCAGCATCAATAACAGCAGAAATTCTTGTCCACACTCCTAATATTGATACAACAAACAGTGCTTGACAATTCCTGGAATATTTCAATGTGGCACTTCATAACTTTCTTGGCGAAGGACGTATGATCACGGAACCAAAACTGAAAATACAATCCGAAAGTCAAAATGCAAGTAAAGATTGTTCCTTCAGATGACAAAGTGGACTTGGCTAAAAACCAACTCCCTCTGGGGTAGCTTTAAACACTGACACTGCTTCTTCTTGTGGGTCATTAAGACTAAATGATGTCAGCTGTGTTGTCTTCAGCACAAACACCTACTGCTGCAGACTGGAGGCAGGAGAAGACAGAAAAGAGGCAGAGGGAGGTCAGCACATTTTATACGATGTCAACGACAGTGTATAAAACACACTGCATGTCATCATGGGTTAAGGAGGAGGCTCATTTTATTCTGAATAAACTTGCTTACTGACAAAAGTTATGACGATTATTGCACGACTGTCCAAAGAAAACTTCTCAGTAACAGTCCAAAAACAAAAACGTAAGCATGGACTTCTTCACTAACTGGATTACACAGAACAAGCAGTTCAAGGGGACAGAGGCGAGGCTAGCGGCTAACGTAGCCACGCTGCATGACTAAAATAAAACTGTTCACAACACAGCCTTAAATGGGATAACGGAGGAAAACACATTAAAATATGTCCTCAGAGAGGCAATCTGTCCTTCAGCACTGCTTGTGCAACATATTTCTATTCATACTTACATAAACACTGATTTCCCTGGCAGCATTACAGCTCTTGATTGTTTGGATATGGATCAGAAATACCCAAGATGAAAAGAATAATACGAATTCCGTTTTATGATGCTGTAACGCGGCCTGTAATGGTGTCTCGGCTCTGGGGCCCTACGGTTTCATCTGCCCATGGAGCTCTGATTGTTCCTGACAGGGCCAAAGGCTGAAGGAAGTGGAGCTGTGTCTATGGCGTCATCAAAGGCCGACAAGAACGCTCGCACACTACCTCGCTCTCTCACGGACAAATTCTCTCTCTCTTATGCGCTTGTTCCCAAACACGTACAGTTTCTACATTTGTTCCGACCTGAGCTGCGACGGTGATGCAATCAGCTGTCCAGCTACGAGTCTGCTCAGTCACAAGCACATTTTATATTCTTCACTCAAGGAGAACCCAGAACTCCCGACACTCATAGATTGAGAGCACGTTCGAGCAGGAGACCACAAAATGAAATGTTTCCATGTGTAGTAATCTTACAGTGCAATATTTAGGTGACATATTTTCCAATTCCCCTGAAAGTAACTGGTGCTAGTTATTTAAAAAAGCACAAAAAGCCCACATATGCTCAAACATGTGGCCAAAAAAGTAAGGTATGGGAGCAGAGAGGCTAAACAGAAAAGACACAGCAATGTAGTGATGGGCCAAGTAAAAAGGAACACATTTGTTTTATAATGAAGAAAACTAAAAATCACTATGTTTGGATATAAAAACACTTTCACCTATGAGGCTGTAGTTGTCTCAAGTTGTATTTAAGAAAGATACGGTGTGATAGTTTATTCAATAGGACAACAATGGTGAGATGTGAGAAATACAGGACAGAAAAAGTGAAAGTGTTCGCTGTCAGGATTGAAAGCAAACCAAATGATCAGGCAGCTGTTTTTGTAACTGTGAAGAAAATGTTTCTGAAATGACGGGGGTTGCAATTTCTATCTCACTGCACTCTCCCATTTTTTTTGAAGCTAAGTTGACATCTCTTATAAGACCACTGAGTCCCAAGAAGGCAGAGTTTGGCTCTAACAAAGATCTGGGACATTGAGATGTTGCTTAGCTGCGTCATTTTTGCTTTTAAAAAAATCAAACTATCGTTGACAGTATAATTTGAATGTCTATTTCATCTTGGCAGAGATTCAGTGCAGGAAAGAAGACGGAGAAAAGGAGGGTGTATGATTGGAGAAGAGAAGGTGGTGATGTACAGCAAAAAAAAAAAAGTGAAGCAAGAGACACAAAACCAGCTTGAAGAAGAAGAAGCAGCAATATGAATGACAGAATATGTAAACAGATGACATTGAAAGAGGTGAGGTGAGACTAAAAATCAGAAAGGAAGGAGCGAAAATGGGAAAAGGGGATAAGTGGAGGAAAAGAGGAGTCGTGTTCCGCTTCTCCAGCACAAATCACCAGAGGAGGCCGACCACGGGACTTCCTGTAGGACAGGACTGCTGATCAGGCAGTCTGTGCACACACACAGACACACAGTGTGAATTGGACCCCTTCCACCTTTTGCCAAGTCAGACAGTGTTGCTGATGGGGAAAACAGCACAAGGAATACCAATGAGTTAAACTAATGAGTAAGACCCCTGTTTATGTACCTGTACATGCCTCATTTTCTCTATGAATGTGAAAGACAGCGATACTTCAGTATGCACAAATTCCAAATTACTAAACATATGTATGATGTGCAACGCTTCTCATGCAAAATGAAGCTAATACTGATCACACACGTCAGACTTTATGCATTCAATTTTAAGTCAAATTCAGCGTTAGTGCCAAAGTTTTCAACAGTGATTGGTGCATTGCATTCCAGTAACTGCTGAGAAATACAGAATTTTTAAAGAAGTATGAGACTTAAAAGAAAGAAAGTGTTGTAAGTCAATAGACAGTCCCAAGACGAATAAGGAGTAAGTGTTACAAGTCAAATAAACATCAAGTACCGCAAATCCAGGGAGATTTCTGTGACAAAAAAGCAAGAGAAATATTTATGATGTGCCGAAATCAAAAAATATGTAAATAATTCACCTGAGAATGTGCAAATTTACATAGCATATGGTGTAAACACCTCGAGATGTGCAAAAAGCTGCATGTTTATGTAACACAGAGTTATGTTCACTCAAATGCTTCTTTTTTTAATTTCTATTTTGCTTTTGTTTTTTAACCTAGTAGAGTCATTTCTATGTACATGTGTATATATATATTTTTTTTTAATAGTGCTTTTTTATTTTAACATTCCTTATGTCAGGTCAGTGTAAGGTATGTGTATTTTGCGATGCATAAACTGCTGATGCAACATCGCAATTTCCTTTTCAGGATCAATAAAAGACTATCTTTAAAAGGTTTTAAAATCTTTTGGGACAGGTAGCAGAAACGGTCAACAAAGATAGTCACGGCACTTTACGAAACATGTGGCATGAACACACTTATTTCTACGTCATTAGAGCTACAACTCCAGGGAAACTCTTGAAGCAATGCTGTGCAAAGAAGCTGCCAAAATCTTCCCCTGAAAATAAAAGCAGACAAGCTGCTTTTAAAGAACTAGCTAGTGCACAAACAGGCCTTTTACATCTAGGGTAAATCTAGCAGCTAAGAGCTATCGATGTGAGAAAGACAACAGCCCAATGAACCAAAATAAAGGTGACTCTGTGATTCTTACATTTTCTGCATAATAAGTACGTTACATAACGTGCAATCACTCAGTCAGCCACTACATCACTGGTAGGCATTCTAATTAGATTGGTCAGAGAGACACACAATGTCTGTCTCTTCCAGTCTCCCCCAGTCTATCACACACACACTGTGTCTCTCTGCATGAAAAGACGTGTACAAACACACAAGAGCGTAGGACTGCAAGGAATGTTCCTGATTCCACGTCTCTGTCACATGCTGCATGATACCAGTGCGAGGATGCCAGAGGAGAGCTGTCACTGGATTTTAAACAGGTTACATAGCTGCAAGGACACACCTTAGAAACCTGTGTGTTCACGTAAAAGGAGGAGGCGGGACATCCAACCATGTGACCTCATCCTGGCTGTGTCATGGGACAGGAAGTGTGGCCTTTTCCAAGCAAACATGCACACACAGGCACTTCGAATACCAAGAGCCAGGGTTGGTCCACTGCAATGAGTTGAGCTCTACGGGCACAATGAGGAAGAGACATTTCTCTGTCGCACAAGCAAACCACCTTTACTGTACACAACTACAGGAAACAATGACTGCCATGGGGAAGTAACCTAAAAACGTGCAACGAGAAAGTCACTATGAAATGCAGAATTCTATGATTTTGTGTCATCACATCATCTTTCAGAATGACTAGAGCGAATCTGATGATGCTACAAGAAAATCACAGCAAACACGCAATCTGCTGCCTCAACTTTACGACCAGCCTTATCTGTAAACGCAATCATTAACAGGTGACACTGTGACATTCCTATAAGCTGATATCACTGGGCGACTGGCACCATCCCAGACCATCGCTCTACCACGATGGGCTGGGAAATTATACCACGATGGGCTGGGAAATTATACCACGATGGGCTGGGAAATTATACAGTTTTTGAAAATCAGATAAGAATACTGTGCAGCTAAGAAAAAAACAAAACAAAACAAATCTGTAAGAATCTCCCACCTCGCTTCTCATTTTCACGCCTTCTACTGAGCTCAAAAACACTTGTTGAGGAAATAAACTGATTTTCTCACTGCTCGGAGCACCGTCACACAACTTTACAGCGAAAGACTTGCAAGTGCATTACTGCCTTCAAGGTAGGTGGTGGTGACAACATTTATGGACCACAGTGAGACAAAGGGTCACAATCGCTTTATGTCTGCCGGCCACAAGATACACTCACAGCACTCCAGAGGCAACCACTCATGTCTCATCTGTATAAATGTCTCAGCGTTGGTACACTAAGTCAACAAACTATTTACTTTTCAGCCAAATGCCCAGTTTCATTTGATAAGATGATAATAATGTGGGTGTGAGACTACCAAACATTAACTAAATGCTGGCTGTGGTGCGTCAGAGTATAAATTTAAGACTCTCTGGTAGGCAAACATGCACTGACCTGAGTTTAACGTTCAATGCAATTAGCAAACTGCAAAGGCTGCAATTAAGGATATGTTTCAACTGTTGTCAGTGGTTATAGTGTCAGTCATGTCGGTGATGATATCTGGTAGGGCTGCACAATACTGGTTCAGTTACATCGCAAGAAGTGCAACGTGAAGTTCAGTAAATCGACTCAAACATCATGCTACAACTTATTTTGCTGCTTCATGCAAAAGGAACGCTTGCACGGTTCTCGTTTTCCATTACTAATCTATAAGAGAAGACTGTCTAATTTAACATGATTTACTCTGATTTTAGATTTCCTTTCATTAACTTTATAACAGCGTGTTGACATGCAAGCTGCACACGTGCGCAGCAAAATGAGCGACAAACAGGAGCCAAACACTGAAAAGGTTGCAAAAAGAAATGCATCATATGTGCATGGAAATATTTTGGTAACAGAAATGATGATGGTGGATGATGTTGACCAAAACAGGTTCTATGCCAGCAGTATTATGCAACTGTTGCCACTAACCAAGGTAACAGATTTGTTTTACCATTGAAACCAGCATCACAAAAATGTCATCTTTTGGAAAGTCTTGTTTTGTACATTGTGCAGAAAACCTAAACATTGCAGTGTCACTTTTTCCAATGTTGCGCAGCCCAAATATCTAACATGATAATGCTCCATCACTTGATTTAAATAGAGTACTCAGTGAAACTTATATTGCATACAAAACTGCAACATCTGTCAGAAAAGAATCACAGTTCTCCAAATCTTTCAGATGTAGCTTCAGCTGCCAAAATGGATGATGGTGATCTGATGTACCAACTTAAGAAGAAAGGGAACATGCCTGTCCTGTCAGATCATATGGTCCACAAACCAAACATGCAGGATTGAAGGAAATATGAGAGTAAGCTATGCAGTGGGGGAAAAAATGAAGGTGCAGCTGCAGATTTGCTTCTTAAGATGCAACTGTAATGTGTATGGGTGGGGGGCTACAGCTGAGGCACGGTGCATAAGGAGGGCATAAATATGAGTCAGCTGAATGTTAAACGTGTTGCGTAATATCAGACTATCTCACAATATTGAATCGTGACATTGCACTAGTGGGTTTTGACTGCAGTCGCTCTGGTACAGCAGGCTACTCCCACCGCTGTCTGGCCAGGTTTGGAGACTGGCAGGTCTCTGCACTGCGAGGACTTTCAGCCAAGTCTGCTCGGCACATTCTTGTCGGTGGACACACTTCCCGAAAACAACCCAAGGTTCAGCTACGTTATGTAATGCCAGTGCAAAAAAAAAAACAGAAGAAAAAAAAAATCACTCCTTTGCCCTGCTTTTCCGCTGATGGATTTAACAGCTCCGACACCCACAAACTCTGCCAGCGCCGGGCTCGCAGCGGTTCGTCTGGAGGGTTTCAGGTGTGTCGAGCCGTTAAGTTAAACCGAGGCCTCGGGACTGGAATGAAACTTGCCCAAATGTCAGCGTCCCAAACGGGGCGTTTAACACCGTCACCTCGGCTGTCAAAACAAACCAGCCCTCATTAAGTTACAAGTCTCAAATGTTTCCCACAACACAAAACTGTAGGCCACAAACGCACCGTTACACCTCTCGGCTAGCTTAATGTGCTTTCTCCGGGACATGCAAGTTAGCTGTATTAGCTTACTTCTTAGCCAGCTATCATACAACAATTTAATGGGAGAAAACTTACGATGCATTTCCTGCCAAGGTGGTTGAAAAGGAATTCATTTTCCTGCGGTGTCAGTAGTAACGAACCGACATTAGCTTGCCGCCGTGGTGGCGGGTGTCCGCTCATTATTGGTGATCAATTTATAAAGTATGCACCGACTCTAACTCGCTACGTGAGATCCAAAAAGATACATAAACAATCCCTTGGTCATCCGTGGCCTGCCTCCGACCCCGCACACCGGCTGGCTTTATCCCGGGGGCTCCGCAACCCTGGGCTGCCGTGAAAATATCTGCCGTTTAGGAATGTAGTGCGACGTCCCGCTCCTCCGCAAAATAAGGTCAAAATTAGAGCAACTGAGCGAAGACGGAAAACGCTAAAAACTTTCCTGGGAAGTCCGGTCGCCAGAGAGCCCGGAGCCAGTTCCATCCAACATGGCAGAGTGGCGACGAGTCCACTATCCGGGAATGGGAGGCACAGCTTTCCCAAAGGTGTCCCACATAATCACCAGGACATAAACCTTTCTTAACAGACATTAAAAAGTTGATATGGCCGCTTTTGTATCATTCATACATATTATGGTTGAATTCTGGTGGTCAAAATCCATTTATTAAAATTACAACTCCCAGCACGCTCCCCTTGGAGATGGTTTCGTCCTGTCCGCCCGTGGCTTTTATGACAGGAATGTGTGCGAGTGCAGAATGGGAGGAGATAAGGAAGAAGGTAGCTCAGATAGTATTGTAATGCTCCTTGTGAGAGGAATTACTGAGCTGAGAATTAATGCAAAGCTAAGCCCACACTCTAAATTAACACTGGGAAAAGAATAATTACAATTTCCCTGTGATGATAATGTTTTTCAAAAGCCTCAAGTCAGAGATATCAGGGCTTGCTTGGATAATAAACTTCCCCTACTTGGGAAATGATGACCCTTTGACCTGAAATGCAAACTCTTTTCATTGCAATAAGCTAAAAATAGCCTATAAATAATATTAAGACTGCTCCAGTTACTATACATAGCCTCGGGGGTAACAGCGGGAAGTCGAACATATGCTTCAAAGTGTACATTTCAGTGTGTCCTCTCTCTAGAACCCTTGACAACTGACTCAGATGACAGAATAAATCACCCCCATGGTCCTCCATGCACAGCTCAGGCTTTAATTATTACCAACAAACCATACATTTTAACATTAAACATTCTGATCATTAAAATTAAACAGACGCTACAATCAGTAGCTTCGAACAAGGGCAGCATCGATGGCTTGTGCATATTTTAATAATGCACCAGAGGGTATTTGTAGCCCTGCAACATGCTCAGTCAGGCTCATAAACAGGTGTTGTGTGGAGGATCTTTGTGAAGTGATACAAAGAAAAGACTTTCTCTCTGCTATTGCCTTTATTTGGGCAGATTGTATAAACATAATATACTTTTTGAGATAAATTCTTCGCTGTCCCATATATGAAGCAGCCTTACGTCACACATCGAAGCTGATTTGTCTCTTTAGTTTTTCAGTGTGATGCAAAATGTTTGCAATCAGAGGCAAAACAGCTTTATTTAATGAGAACACATGTCCAATAAATGCATTGAACAGCGATTAGCAGAGGTTAGTGTAAATTACATATGCACAGTTAGGTTGTATCAGGATTCATGGAGCCAAATTTCATGTAGCTGATGAATAAATGTATTCTGATTTGCATTCTGATTCATATGCAGGCACATGACGTGAAATAATCTTCATGACCCAGATTGAAACTCTGGTATTTTCATATTTGGCACAAACTCATGTCAACGTCATAGTCAATGCTGGACGAGCTTAATTACTCTAAACATTGCATTCATTTAAATCACTGAAAATTCTCTGCAATGGCAACACGTTCTGGTGTCAAATGTAACCTCTCGCTAAATTATTCAAGCAGAAACTTCATCAAATTTGTACCCAAGCCACTACTAATACTCCCGTCATCGTCATGCTGTGAGATTTATGGTCTCGCCTCGGTCCGTAAAGCAGGGATTAACTCAGAAGTATGTGTGTGTTTGTATAGTTTCGTATCTGCTTGTTTTCACGTCCATGAGTGCTTCATTCTTGTACATGTGTGTAGTCAGAAAGTCAGGTCATTCCAGTCGTTTGTCCTCCCTCCCTGTGCGATAATGTTCCTGTGGAGATGACTCAAATGTCATTAGCAACACCTGGAGTGAATGACACTGCACATTAAGCAATCATAGTCGACATTATTTCTTTTTTATTTTGTAATTTAGTTGATTGTGTGGCAATATATTCTAATATGTAGAAATAGGATCTGCATTTCATTTTGCTTTATAGGTTGTTATGTTATTGGTCTCAACATAGAAAATAAGCTCTGATGATATATTTTAGAGTGAAAAACGTGCCTTCGGTCCATGACATCACTCAACAGTGAGGTGATAGCATTGTTATACAGGGTTGGTTTCTGCTCAGTCTTACAATTGATCGTGCAGTTATGTAATGCAACACTATGTCTAATCTCTCTCACTGATTAATCTCTCTGTGTTCTTGGTTAACTTTAATCCTGAACTGGGATTTCAATTTGTTCTCCAAACCTCAGCTCGAGCATACACCCAACGTGTCGTTTTCACGCTTGCTTCAGCTCCCTGTTCTTCGCCAGAGTCTTGCGGAACCTGAAAAACCCGAATGACAGGCAGGGAAACACCTGAGGAAACTCAGCTCCACCTAGGCTCAGTTCAATGAGTGTTACAAAACGATTCACTCTTCAGTGCAGGGAAAGGGGGGAAAAAAAATAAAAAGTTTGGTGCAGTGATTGAGAGATAGACGGGCAGGAAAGAAAAAAAAAACAGATGATAACAGAGAATATGAAAGAATGCGAGAAGAAAGAGAAGCAATTAAACCTGAGAGTGAGACGCAGCTCATTTACTGATTCCAGGAACCAGCCTGCTGTTTCAAGATGATGTCGATGACGTGAGCTGGTTTTTGATTAGCAAGATACAAAACTCCAAATGTCACCAACACCCACAGTCTTCCTCATTTTATTTATTTATTTATTTTTATAGTTCCTTTTCGAAACATTTGCTTCAATCCAGAAATGAATTTATTTAAAGGTTGTCATGATATGAGTAAGTAATGATGGAAGTAAGGTAGTAAATGCACGAGTAGATGTCACAGAATTTTTAGTGATACTGACAGCTAATACTGGCTGGTATGCACTTACTCACACTGAGAACAGATACTGTCACTCCTTACTGACATTTCTGCGTACAAGAATGCACAAGGTGTGAGCAGGAGCAAGGGAGTATTTTCAGTGTTGATGCAAGTTTGAGTGCGTCCGTATGTGTGTGAAATGTTTTGTGTGTGCTTACGCATGAATATGTATTTAAACAAGGGAAAACTTTGCATTTCCTCGCTGTGATGTTAATGCCGTGTGTGTTCAGGGGGTTGTTTTATGCCGGCGCACCTTCTGGTACGACCCTTGAAAAGCTCCTTTGACCCACTTTCCACAACAAAGGAGAATTGAGGTTATGGGAGAACGAAGGGAAGAGGACAACATGAATATTATATTTTGTATTTGTGGAGGAAGAGATTCCCCACGGGCCTCTTTATGAATATTTAATAAAGTTGGCCTTTCTCACATCTCTGCAGAATGTTCGACAGTGTGGATTTTTGGAAATATCACAAAACAGAATGTGTTCAAGCAGGCGTGCAGGGGGTGACATTTGTCTTTAAGGATTAGGTGATACGTAAACAAATATATACACACAAACTGATTCACAGAGAAAAGCCTGAGAAGGTTGAATTCTTCGTCCCATTGCTATCATATACAGAGAGATAGGGGCAACAACACTGACTGATGGTGCTTTTCATACACTTATAGTCTCCCATATGCTTTATCATGTGTTTAATATAAGGATGATGGTAATGTAGATTAGACCACAAGTGCTGCAAGATGATGGATTAAAATGACAACAGGAAGAAAATTCTATTCTCTATTGCTATGAAACACTTTATGTCATATTTTAAAAAATGCTTTTTTAAAATTTTTTTTATTCTGAATTCCACCCAGATCTTTAAATAAAATTAAATCATCACACTTTGGTTAAACTGCTTGTAGATGCGTACTGCAAGGTGGCGCAGTTGGTAGCAGTGTTGCTTCGCAGCAAGAAGGTTGCCGGTTTGTGTCCCGGTGGGGGCACCAGGATTTTTCTGCGTGGAGTTTGCATGTTCTCCCTGTGCAGTGTGGGTTCTCTCCGGGTTCTCCGGCTTGCTCCCACAAGTCCAAATACATGTTGAGGTTAATTGGAGATTCTAAATTGTCTGTAGGTGTGAATGTGAGTGTGCTTGGTTGTCTGTCTCTAAGTGTAGCCCTGTGATCGACTGGTGACCTGTCCAGGGTCTATTTTATACCCTTTGTCACTTGTTTTTTTTTTTAAAATATACATCTCTAGGCTCTACAAACGTCTTGTTTATCTTGTGCAATCTGTTTGTTAATTTATAATTTAAGGTTGTTCTTTGCTCTGAATGGGATTGCACGCAATTTTGTTGAACTTTTTTGGTATGACATTAAAGAATTCTGATTCTGAAATGTGCTATAAGTGGTCATCTAGCTTGTTTTGACCTATCATCAGGCCTTGTCGTGGCTCAAATAATTAATTAATATAGTTTTTTTTCTTCTATAAAATGCCCGAAAACTGTATATCATTTCCTAGCATTCAAGATAGCATCATCAAATGTCAAAAATGTTTAGTATTTTCTGCTTTCTTTACATACAAATGGCCAAAATCTTGCTTAAGATATTAAAACAGCTGTCCACCAACTAATCAGTTAACAAACTTGGAAACCACTGGACCAAATATCAGCTATATCATATATGAACAATGTTGTTACATATTGTGATATTTTTCACTCCCAGTTTGCTCCTCATTAGGAAAAATCCCCACATTGTCAGAGCTGTTGACACCATCGTAGAGAGATGGTGCTATTTGGAAACTTGCACCATTTAAGTAACTAAACCACAAGATGGCAACATTGCACTAAATATTACATTTTTTACTGGATCTGACTAAATTTGCCAAACATGCACATGAATGCCAAAACACAGCCTGAATACTTTGAGTTATTCTGCATATGCTGCATACACACACGGTCATACAAGCAGGAGAGTCAATAAGAGGTAAGAGGTAAAGCACAAGTGTTTTTCTGCCTTAACAATGGAGGCCTCAGTGCTGCAGTGTCATTGTTTGGACAGAAAACAATGCAGCCCATGCAGCTGTTCAAGTCATTAGTAGGCGTGCACTGAAGGCTTACTGGTTGGGACTTCCTTTAAATGACAATGACCTCGTAATGAGGAAATCTTCCGTCATTGTTTTGCCGGTGAGTAAACCATACCTGAGGTCTACTGGCTGACTGCACAGTGCCCACATACCAAGGATGACAGGATAAGATAACAGTAGAGCTAAAAATATGGCTTTGCTGCATCCAAGAAACAAAGCACATTTGTTCTGTCTAATTTAATCTAATCTCATCTAATCTAATCTAATCTAATCAAGTGAAAACTGCTATCTCTAAAAATATTTGTATTGTGTAGATGATTTAAAGTTA